GGGATTAATTGAGCTCTCATAGGAGAGACCAAAAGGGGGAATTGTAAGAATAGATTATCGTAGTGTTAGGGATTTAGTTGTTGAACCACAGTAAAGTATTCATTATTCATTTAAGCAGGTCATAGAACTGGGAGAATAGGTCAGAGGTGTATGTGAGAAGCAGGGATGACAGAGCTGCCATCAGTGGGATAAGGAGGTGGTAAGCCAAAGCAAGGAGAACATAGTGTGCAAAGAAGTGGGCAGCAAGGACTCGAGACAGAGTGACACGAGATACAGAGGGCATCAGCAGGCACCTGGTTTTGAGACACAAAGGTTGTTGACTTCTGTGTATCGATGTGTGCTGCTGGGACTGCCCCACTGGATTTTGCTGAGCTATGAAAATTCCCAAGTACATGTAATAAAATGAATTGATTGTTTATTTAAAAAAACAGAAATGGGATATTACACTGTTTTATGAGGCGTTATGCTGCTGATTTATAAAGAAATACTGTTTCCAGGGAATCATGCTTTTCTGATTACAAAGAGAACAGAACGTACTGCAGGGGGAATTCTCCCTCATCTCACACAGGAGGAGAAAACAGGAAGCCAAGGTCATAACTCAGGCTCCCTGAGAGACAGAAAGAATGGGGATGTTTAAGTTTTCATGACTTTGGAGTGGGCCGAGGCTATACAAGTTTGAGTAACGGGCCGACATTTTGAGATCTGCCCTCTCGTGCACATCTCCCATCCGGATGATTGTGCTGCTCAAAGTGTTTGTGTGGTATAAAGAGAATTGTATTGATTAAAGTGATTGTTGATCGAGCATTAAAACACCGAGTGTTGTTCTTCCTTCAATCAAAGAATTGGGGTAATTTAACGCTCTTCAGAGCACACCTCCACCTCTCCAGGCTGGCTTACACAAGCTCCACCTTTGACTATGAGAAAATAAAACAGTAGAAACACTGTTGCTTGTCCCAGGAAAATACACAACGTTGTCCATCCTGAACTCTGTGGCTGTGAAGTTGGTCTCTGATTCTGAAACAGACCAGAGGTTCCTGTAAAGAGCATAAAAACATATATTTGTTGACACTTGTTGGATTTGGAACTTCAAGAAGTG